TAGCCAATTTTCTTCAACTATTTTCGGAAGCGTCTTTTTCTTCAACACTTAGAATATTTCTGGGACTGGATTCTTTTAACATTGCTCAATCCAAGCTTCTTGGGCTCGAGCACTAGGTACAAGGCTCGAGCATTTGGGACACCAGGCTCGAGCTTCAGTTGTTAGTGCTCGATTCTTAATGGATGGTGCTTGATCCTGGAGGTGAAGCACGAGACCTGGGAGCATAGCCTTGCAATTAAATCAATTTTTTAATTTCTGACGCCTCATGCTCAAGCTTGAGGGTCAAGGCTCAACCAGCACAGTTGAGACAAAAAACAAGAATTGTTAATCTCATAAAAATCACACACATATGTAATTTACATGTATAAATACATAAAACCTAGAGTTAAGGCTTGAATCTTTTTCACGAAGAAAGATAAAAAAACCTTCAATATAAATCTTCCGTTACGAAGTGATTTAAGAATTGATGATAAATAGTTAGAAACTCAAGAATTGTTGCTTAGTCTCTTTCTGAGTGATTCTTGGCAGAGCTGGGAACGAGAAACCGGGGGCGGAGGGGGCGAAGATCAGCACTCAAAAAGTATTCATCTTTGGCACAACCAAATTAACGATGCTACCGTTGTTTCGCTGTCTTCATCTGTTTCTTACCAAAATTTAGATGGATATAATTTAAATCAATCTTTTTTGTTATGAAACGTGAGCTGTTTTTGGTTTAGATCTTATTGGCAATGAATTGACATTAAGGGGTAAATAAACTCTTTGTATGATTGTTTTTGTATATTGATACGAGATATTAGGATTCAAGAATTTGAGTTTGGATTCGAGAATTAGAGTTTGGAAGGTTGTAGAGAGAGAGGAGAAAGAGAATAGAGTTGAGGAGAATGAGAAGAGAGTTCATCTGCAACTTGGTTTGGAGTTTATGAACATAAGAGAAGACGGATATAAAAGGCAAGAAAATTGTTAGTCTTTGTTTGGTTACTTGGATAGCCACGTTTTCCTTCAACCTCGGTCTGCTTTAGAAATCGGTCAAAGTAATTGGTTCAACTCATTTTCCTTCCACAAAAAGTGCCTACCTTTCTAGTTTTAGTCGTCCCAAAATAATTGTGCTAATTCAAAATCCAATGCACTCCTCCTCTGTTTCATATTAGATGTCATTTTGTGGAGTAAAATTTTTTTAGGAGAAAATGTAATTATTGCATTGCCACCTTTAAAAATTATGAACTTACCTTTCAAGTTTGAATATATATACATAATTAAGTTTGAATTTTTTTTTTAACTTCATGGATATTTTATTGAAAGATGTGAAAAATGCTATATGAACTTTAAAAGTGGACAAGTAAGTATTTTGCGATAATTCAAGAAGAAAGATCGACAACTGAATTGGGACCGAGGGAGTATTTTTTTTAATATTGCTAATATACTCTCCTTACTTTAGAGTTATAAAAGCAATTAGAGTAGTGTAGACTCACCATAAAAGAATATATTGGAAAATTCATTTCTTACCATTATAATAATAATAATAATAATTAAAACCTATACTCTTAAATAAACTTAATATTTCATATAGTGCCTTTGGAGCTAAGAAATTTAATTAGAAACCAAGTGATTGTATTGAAAGATTTATATTAAGGTGTTTGGGATGTTGTGCAAAATTTCAAAATGGAATTAGATTTGGATAAATGTGAGCCTCTTTTGAAATTACTCCTACCCAATTGGACTTTTGACAAAGAATACTGTTTATTTTGCCAAATTGTTCTTGTTTTTTGTTACAAGCAAATAGGATAAACAAATGGTTGCTATTTTTGTAGAACGCGTCTGATATTTAATAGCAAAAAGAGAGTTGATGTGACATCTTTTTTTATTTTTTTTATTTAGGTAACATACTGACACAAATGTTCACAACAGGACTCGAACCTCTCACCTCTCCGTTAAGGAGACATCCCGTTGTGTTCCTTTCCCCCTTTTTAAATGGTTTGCCCCAAAACATAACATTACTATAGTTCGGATAAGTGAGACATTTTGTTTCAAGAGAAAAAAAAAAAATCCAGTGTGACCAAGCATATGAAATGCTTAGTTCATGGTCCATTAATCCATTAAACTACTTATTTTCCTTAACAAATATATTAAGAAAAATGTTAATCAGGCCCTTACTTCCTAAAGGGTGGTCAGGGGTTTGAGTCTTAAGAGAGACGTGTGTATGAAAACCAACTAAATATATATATTAGGAAAAATTTTATTCGAGTCAATTCAAGTTAAGTATATGAAATGCTTAGTTCTCTTCTCTTATGACAGGAAGACATTGATCTCATGGTAAAATTGAACTTTGATGCCTACCGTTTCTTAATTTCATGGTCGAGGATATTCCCAAGTAATTAGTTCCACAACATTTTTCTCTCTGAGTCTTTTAAATTTATCACTCACATTGTCTATATATATGTAAGTCTTTTTATAATTCACGTGTTTGATATAGATGGAATTGGAAAGGTCAATAAGAAGGGAGTTGCTTACTACAATAGGTTGATCAATTACATGCTCAAAAGAGGTAACTCTTTTTTTTTTTTTTTTTTTTAAAGATAATTGAGAATATGCCACAGCACATTTGTTGTTGTATTTAAAGCACTAAGTCTTCACACTGGGTAACAATATACAGTACGAGAACTGCACCAGTTAGAGGTTACTATTAAATGTGTTTTCATTAATCAGTTCAAGTTCGGCTCATTAAGAGCTTAATTGGTTCATGTTCGTTTGCTTAGTAAACGAACCAAACTCAAACAAGATTTTCAAGCTCATTAAATAAACGAATCAAACTCAAACAGGCTCCGATGAGTGTTATTGAAGGGGCAGATTGACCACAAACTAAAATTTTGCACTATTTACTTTGTGTTTCCTCATATATATTAGAATCTGCGGCCTTGCACTTCGTACCTCTAGTTTCTACTATTGCACCACGATGAAATTCCTGGCTTTATGCGATTTTGATACCCAGGCATCACCCCTTATGGAAATCTTAATCATTACGATCTTCCCAAAGCTCTTCAGAAGAGGTACATAGGATGGTTGAGCCATAAAGTAGTGTAAGTATAACAACAAACAACAGTCGTTTATTCCATATAGTTTCAACATTTTCTTCCAAATAATAATGATAAATAGTTCAAATTCCACAGGAAAGATTTTGCCGATTATGTGGAATTTTGTTTCAAGACATTTGGAGACAGAATGAAGAATTGGATGATGTTTAACGAACCTAGGGTAGTGTTAAGCGCTAAATGTTACACATTTTAGCCCCTTTATTTGTATGTTTTATTCTCTTAATAATAGTTTATTTGTGATTTTACATTGTTTTATTGTTTTTATTTATTTCAGAGCTTTAATTGTAAAATCAGTCAAGACCAGTGAATTTGAGCTTTAACAGATGACATTCCGTGGGACCGAGCAATGTTGAAGATCCAAGTCTAATTATACTTAGAAAATAGTCCAAAAGAAGTTACAAGTTGATGAGAATGGGAAGAAGAAGAAAAGGAAAACTCCTTCTCCAAAAAGGAAACTTTCGTCAAAGTTGGTAACTTGAACTCATTTTGGTAATTTGGCTATATCTCTCTCATCGAGTGTCAAAATGGCTAAATTCTTACATAAGGTTGAAAGGAAATTCGAAGAGCTACATTTTTGTATTTCACGAGGATTCCCTAAAACAGCTGTTTACCATGTCAAAATTGGCCTAGAAGTCTGTACAAATTTTGGAGTCCTTATTTGACAGAATTTCTATGTTTGTCTCCTATATGAAAAAGGAAACTTTAGGGCTGATCTTTTATTATTTAAAGGGAATCCTCTACAACATTGAGGGATCATACAGAGGAGCTTGAGGTTTAGATCAGAGAGGAGCATTCAGAAAAAGGAAGGGATCAATCCATGGCGATGAAGATGTCTTCCTCAACCATAAAGAATTCCACTCCAGTCATGCTTGGCTAAACGTTTTGCTAGGGTTGTGATGTAGCCCTAGCTTAGCACACTGGTTTGATTGTATTTAATTATTGGAGAACAATTTTTATTATGCATGATTGTGTAATCTATATGATTTTTAATTGAATTTTCAATAAGAATTGGTTTTAGAGTTTTAATTCAATTACAAATATTTTTCTATCTTGTCTTAGATATTTTAATCTTGGAATTGAACACAACTCATTCACTTCTTGTAATTGCAAATGAGATGATTACACAATGGTATTTCTCTGAATATAATGTTAGAGATTGGATGGATTATGCCCAGAAAAGGTAGACCATGCTGCACCCTAGAGTAAAGTAGTTAGGTAGATGGTTTATACCAATTGAAGATAGTCCATGCTTAGCTTTAAATTATATTATTTTCTAGCTGAATTAATATGCCCTTGTAGCCATGATTAATTCCCTGGGCATGTTATATCATATATCTCCGATAAATTGATGCAATTAACTGGTGGTGCGACGTTAGTGGTGAAGTCATACCCCTAGTCCTCTCTTTCTATTTTCTACATCATATTTGATTATCATTCTTTAGTTTACTTTATTTTTCTACTTAGTTAATTTAGAATTAATCATCACAATTCGATTATCCTACTTTCAAGTTAATTTTGGAATTTAAGAAATCTGTTGACAAACTTAATTTACACAAGTCCCTTGGGTACGACACCCTTACAAGTAAACCCTATCTGCAAAGATTCGTGCACTTGCAAGTGGTACATATAAATCTCACAACAAGTTTTTGGTGCCGTTGCTGGGGACTTGTTTTAGTTCTTGACAGATAATATTAAATTCTACAATTAATTTCAAGTAGGATCTTAGTTTAGGATCTTATTTTATTTATTTTATTTTATTTTATTTTGATACTGTTTTCTTTTAATTATTGTAGGTGACATTATATGCTTGGAAGACGTTCTTTGTCACTCCCTCAGCTTCCGTTAGACCCAGAAATTGAAAGGACTCTCAGAAACTTAAAGAAAGATTTTGGAGGCTTTAAAAAGGAAAAGATGGCGGATGATCCACCAGCTACAGAAGCAGTTCACTATTTAAAGGATCACTACGAACCAGGTGCATACAACTCTTCATCTGCAGTTTGGTATCCTCAAGTGAGGGCCCCTCACTACGAAATTAAGGCCAGTACTCTTCAGTTACTGCCTTCTTTTTACGGCCTATCAAAAGAGGATCCATACCGGCACTTGGATGACTTTGCTGAGGTGTGCAGAACAATAAAGATCAGAGCTTTGACGATGATGTGCTCAAGCTACACCTTTTCTCCTTTTCATTAAAGGATAAGGCGAATGACTGGTTTAATTCATTGCCAGTAGACTCCATCACTACATGGGCTGAATTGCAACAAAAGTTTTTAAACAAGTACTTCCCCATGGTGAGAACTACTCAATATCGAGATGCTATTACTCGTTCTGCTCAAGGGCCTGAAGAGCCTTTTCATGAGGCTTGGGAAAGATTCGGAGACCTTCTTCGGAAGTGTCCTCATCATGACATGCCAAAATGGCAGCTTGTCAACTTCTTCCATAAGAGGCTCAAATGTATATGGTGGATGCCTCTTGTGCTGGAAATTTTACGTTGAAGAGTGTAGAAGACGCATGGCAGCTTTTCGAAAATATATCTGATAATTCTACACAACATGTCTTACCTCCAGTAGCAAGACCTCATACCATATTGAGGAGAGCAGAAAGTGTGAATGAAGCAGGAATAAATCAACGGCTAGTGAGCCAAATTGAGGCATTAACCAAGAAGGTTGATCAATTGATGACTTCACAGTCAAATTTTACGCCTCCTTCAACTAATGCTCAAGGCTTTGAAGTGTGCTCTTTCTGTTCCAGTCAAACTCACCATGTGTCCATTTGTCCAAGTGCAGCTCAGTATTCAGAAATTCCACAAGAGCAAGTTAATGCTACCTATGGAAGGCTCGGACGGAATAATATGTACAACCCGGCTTGGAGAAACCATCCTAACTTCTCATGGAGAAATCCAGCCACAGAGACATCAGCTCCTCCACCTCAAGTACCTCAGGTGCAAGGCAATTTTCAATCTCTAGTTCAGACTTCAAATCCTTAAGGGTTCACTTCTATGAATGCCTTCAGTCAACCTCAACAATTCTTATCAATGCTTGAGATAACGATGGCAAAGCAGATAGAGCCAACTAATCAACTTGTCCAGTCTCATTCTTAATCCCTTGCCAAGTTAGAAACTCAAGTTGGCCAACTAGCTCAAGCCTTGAACAGAAGAGAGGATGGTGTTAGGCACTAAATGTTACACATTTTAGCCCCTTTATTTGCATGTTTTATTCTCTTAATAATAGTTTATTTGTGATTTTACATTATTTTATTATTTTTATTTATTTCAGGGCTTTAATTGTAAAATCAGTCAAGACCAGTGATTCTGAACTTTAACAGATGACATTCCGTGGGACCGAGCAATGTTGAAGATCCAAGTCTAATTATACTTAGAAAATAGTCCAAAAGAAGCCACGAGTTGATGAGAATGGGAAGAAGAAGAAAAGGAAAACTTCTTCTCCAAAAAGGAAACTTTCGCCAAAGTTGGTAACTTGAACCCGTTTTGGTAATCTGGCTGTATCTCTCTCCTCGAGTGTCAAAACGGCTAAATTCCCACTTCGGGTTGAAAGGAAATTCAAAGAGCTACAATTTTGTATTTCAAGAGGATTCCCTAAAACAGCTGTTTACCTTATCAAAATTGGCCTAAAAGTTTGTACGAATTTTGGAGTCCTTATTTGACAGAATTTCTATGTATGTCTCCTATATGAAAAAAGGAACTTTAGGAGTAATCGGGGCTCATGTCTCATATACATAGAATGTTCACATGAAGAATTGGGGGTAAGGATAAAGAAAAATAATAATAATAATAATAATAAATAAATAAATAATATTTTCCCATAAAAAATAACTTGAGAAAAGATCCGAGGAATTGAAATTATAGAAGTTGGGTTCAATTAAAAATACATTACTACATAGGTGATTTGCTAGTTCACAAATTACACAACATTGGGGATTGATTTGGCTATTGTTCTTGTTATATAAGTGTGTGGGAAACATTGAGATGAAGTATGAAAATAGGGACAAAAGAGTATAGTCAGATGATAATTTTTTAAGTACTTCTGTGTAGTCTTCTCCTTGATTATTGTAATGATATGAGAATAAGTTGATTGTTAGATGATTGAATTATGTTGTATGTTTGTGGGTATCATCTCTAGAAACCCTCACGAGACTTCACTCGTTCACTAGGGGTAACATAGGGGTTTAAAAGGCTTGTTGCATACGCTAAATACAATCATGATTCCCACGAAAGCGGCATTTATGTTTTCTTTAGTTTTATTGCTATAGGACTAGCAATATGTAAGTTTGGGGGTGTGTTAGGCGCTAAATGTTACACATTTTAGCCATTTTATTTGCATGTTTTATTCTCTTAATAATAGTTTATTTGTAATTTTACATTTTTTTATTATTTTATTTATTTCAAGGCTTTAATTATAAAATCAGTCAAGACCAGTGATTCTGAACTTTAACAGATGACATTCCGTGGGACCGAACAATGTTGAAGATGTAAGTCTAATTATACTTAGAAAATAGTCCAAAATAAGCCACAAGTTGATAAGAATGGGAAGAAGAAGAAAAGGAAAACTCCTCCAAAAAGGAAACTTTCACCAAAGTTGGTAACTTAAACCCGTTTTGTTAATCTGGCTGTATCTCTCTACTTGAGTGTCAAAATGGGTAAATTCTTGCGTGGGTTGCAAGGAAATTCGAAGAGCTACAATTCTGTATTTCATGAGGATTCCCTAAAACAGCTGTTTACCTTATTAAAATTGGCCTAGAAGTCTGTACGAATTTTAGAATCATTATTTGACAGAATTTCTATGTATGTCTCCTATACAAAAAAGGGAATTTTAGGGCTGATCTTTTATTATTTAAAGGAGGTCCTCTACAACATTGAGGGATCATACAGAGGAGCTTGAGGCTGAGATCAAAGAGGAGCATTCAGAAGAAGGAAGGGATCAATCCATGGCGGTGAAGATGTCTTCCTCAACCATGAAGAATTCCACTCCAGTCAAGCTTGGCTAAACGCTTTGCTAGGGTTGTGATGTAGCCCTAGCTTAGCCCACTGATTTGATTGTATTTAATTATTGGAGAACAATTTTTATCATGCATGATTGTGTAATCTATAGGATTTTTAATTGACTTTTCAATAAGAATCGGTTTTAGAGTTTTAATTCAATTACAAATATTTTTCTATCTTGTCTTAGATATTTTAATCTTGTAATTGAACACAACTCATTCACTTCTTGTAATTGTGAATGAGATGATTACACAATGGTATTTCTCTGAATATAATGTTAGAGATTGGATGGATTATGCGTAGAAAAGATAGACCATGCTACACCCTAGAGTAAAGTAGTTAGGTAGATGTATTATACCAATCGAAGATAGTCCATGCTTAACTTTAAATTATATTATTTTCTAGCTGAATTAATATGCGCTTGCAGCCATGATTAATTCCCTGTGCAATTAACTGGTGGTGCGACGTTAGTGGTGAAGTCGTACCCCTAGTCCTCTCTCCCTATTTTCTATATCATATTTGATCATCGTTCTTTAGTTTATTTTATTTTTCTACTTAATTAATTTAGAATTAATCATCACAATTCGATTATCATACTTTCAAGTTAATTTTGAAATTTAAGAAATCTGTTGACAAACTTAATTTACCCAAGTCCCTTGGGTACGACACCCTTACAAGTAAATCTTATCTGCAAAGATTCGTTCACTTGCGAGCGGTACATATAAATCTCACAACAAGTATTCACTGCACTTGGGTACGACGATGGGTTTTTTGCAACGGGAAGGTGCTCTAAACCATTTGGAAATTGCACAGCTGGAAATTCTGCAACCGAGCCCTACATTGTAGCCCATAATTTGATCTTATGTCATGCAGCTGCAGTTCGAAGATACCGTCAAAAGTATCAAGTAAGCCTCTTTGTTATGTCTATTCAACATCAATCCTTTGGCTTTTACCGGTTTCAAGAAGGACAAAAAAGAGACAGTTTGTCTTAATATTTTTGCATACGATTCCAGGAAAAACAAAAGGGAAGAATTGGCATTCTCTTGGATTTTGTTTGGTATGAACCTCTTCCAAGATCAAAGGCAGACAATGATGCAGCTCAAAGAGCAAGAGACTTCCATGTGGGATTGTAAGAATTTAAGAAATCAGAGTTATGATCATCTTATGCCAGGAGTCAACACATTCACTAGAGATTAAAATCCTCTCTTGCACTACAGTGTTACTGTTTGTCCCAGCCGGTGATGAGAATTAGTGATACACATCACCAAATTGTTGTGACATTTAGCCTTACATCCCAATATTTTCCTAACGTGCATCACAATATTCTCCTTACCAGCTAGTCAGATACACTATAGTGCAGGAGAGGATTTTTATCCCATTCACCAGTCCAAAATAGGTTGAGATAAGTACTCTTGACAATGATGACAAATGCATGATAAAAAATTATATATGTACCATTGGAGACGGTTCAATATCGCGAAATTCCATTCAGATGAGACAATTTAGGTTCAGGGATTCTTTAAAAAACAAAACATGTGGATTTGGGAAAATATGTTATAAAATAATAAATTGAGGGTGAAAATCATCATTGCTAAATAAAATACCACTGCCAAAGGTATAGTTTTACCAAAGCAATCACATTCTCATTCTATATCGAGTCATTCTGAATTCTACTTTGACTATGTTCGGCTGCATGGAATTAGAATCTTGGAATTGGAATTGGAATTGGAGCCTTAGAATTGGAATTGATAGAATTGGAGAAAAACAACTCACAAATTCCATACAGCCGAACGCACCCTTTATGAATTTGAGTTACGTGCGACTAAAATGGATATTATGGTGTTCTTGGTAATTTTTCCAGCTTATTATGTTTGGAATGTCACTGAACGAATGCCATTGGAATTGGAATTAAAGGAATTTTAGTTAAACTAACGCAACATCATCACATCATCTCTCTTGTACGTTGTTGACATAGGTTCATGCATCCCCTTGTATATGGTGAGTATCCAAGAACAATGCAAGAAATTGTTCGAGATCGGCTGCCCAAGTTCACAGAAGAGGAGGTTGAGATGGTAAAGGGCTCGTTTGATTTCATCGGTATCAATCAATACACTGCTTATTACATGTATCAGACCAAACCAAAAGCCCTTGGCTACCAGCAGGACTGGCATGCTGGATTTGCTTGTTTGAGATTTTCTTCCTCTCTGTTTCAACTAGTGAAAGAAATACATTATATTCATTGTTCATGCAAATGCATTACTGATTTTTTTTTTTTTTTTTGCTTGTGAACTTTGCAGATGAACGAAAAGGTGTTCCAATTGGTCCAAGGGTAATTTCTGTGTTGCAACTTCATTTAGGGTGTGTTCAGTTGCATGAAATTTAAATTTGTAATTTCTGAATTTTATTTTTTAAATTCCAGCAATTCCAATTCCATACAACCAAACACACCCTAAAAGAATTTATTAGAAATCTCATTACCCTTTTGTTTCAAGGCTGATTACTGGAACTAATGGTTTGCAGGCATATTCTTATTGGCTGTACAATGTACCATGGGGTCTATACAAAGCTGTGACGTACATAAAAGAACATTATGGGAATCCTACTGTTATTCTGGCTGAAAATGGTATCCTACTGTTACCCTTTCACATTTTAAATCTCATAAATCTGGTATATGAGCTTCTCTGGTGATTTGGTAAATAATAATATATGTATTCCATTTGATTAGATAAAAATAGCAAGAAAGGAAAGGAATTATTTTAATATTTTTTGATTGGATAGTTGGAAAAGGAAATTTATAAGGAAAAATAATTTTCCATTACCCCATCAATTTTTTTTTAGATAACTCAGGTATCCGAGGCTTTGCCCCGACTAATTTCTAAATTGAATCCCAGACCTAGTGCTAGGAAGGCACACCAAAGCCAAAGTGATTATACAACTATGCCAACCCCTTGGGGTTCATTACCCCATAATTTTTGTTTGAATAACACGAAATTTTTTGATTTACTGAGGAAGTTATATGAATTTACAACAATGTGTTTTTTCCTTTTCTTATAAGCTTCATGCATTCCATATCATGAAATAGTAGTAGAAAAAAAAAAAAAATCATGCTAACCAAATGCATGTTAGAAAATTTCCTTCACTTTCGTTTACGTGGCAAACCAATATTAATTTCCGTTTAACCAAAGGTGTATTATGTGCAGGCATGGATGATCCGGGTAATGTGACACTTCCCAAGGGTTTGCACGATACCACGAGGATCAACTACTACAAGGGGTATTTGACAGCATTGAAGAAGACAGTTGATGAGGGAGCAAATGTGATGCGGTATTTTGCGTGGTCATTGCTTGACAATTTTGAATGGAGATTAGGATACACTTCCAGATTCGGCATTGTTTATGTCGATTTCAAAACCCTCAAGAGGTATCCTAAAATGTCGGCCTATTGGTTCCAGCAATTACTTCGCCGAAACAAGCATTAAGCGAGAGGAAGTGTTGCTTTTTTGTGCGTCTCCAATAAATAATGTCCAACCCAAGGACTTTGTTGTTGTAATGGATTTGTCTGTCCTTCTAGAGTGTTATCTTAATGATTGTTTGGTAAGAAAAACAATCAGAATTTCTATCATTTTTCTTAAGCAAGATATGATTGTCGGTAAAATATTCAATAATATTAGGGGTCATAGTATTTGATACTAACATGACTCGAATACGACTTGAGATAAGTGGGTTTGAGTTTAGTTTAATCTTATTCGTGTTGTAAGGTAATTAAGTGTGTCGTGTTCGTGTTTGACCTGTCAACCCATTTATAACTCTTTTAACTAAAAGTATCGGATCTACATGTTGGGTTAGTGTTAAAAATAACCCATTTAATTAAACGTGTTTGAATAAAAGTGTTGTATTTGTGTCAAAAATGTCTTAAATTGTCTTGTTGTGTCAAGCTTTGGTCTATTTATTAAATGAGTTACATGGAGTTACATGTGTCGTGTTGTGTTATTTGTGTAATAATTGTGTTCGTGTCTATATTTATTAACATAAATAATAATCGTGTCGTGTTCGAGTCAATCTATATAACAAAATACTCGTGTTCTACCACAAAATTCTAATTAGACATATTCTGTTAAAAAAATAAATAAACAAACAAAAGAATTAGAAACTCACAAAGAGAGAAGAAGACTGACTCATCTTTGTGGATTTGAATTTTAGAAAATAGTTAAGTAACTTTTATGTAGAGCTCTTTTCATGATCTCATTTTATAATTTGTTATCAATTTAATTTATTGGTTTGACTCTGATTTTTAAAATATTTATTTAAAAATTAATTTATTTTTTATGAAATAAACTTCTTTTGAATTAGGATTCAAAGAGACAAATATTCACGCTTCATACTTTATTTTTATTTATTACACCTTCATACACTGTCGTCTCTAATCCCACTCTAATAATACAAATTATAATTTTTTTTTTCAAGTTTTGGTTTAATAAATTTGTAAAATTATCAATAAACTACATTTATTGCGTGTGATTGTGACATAGACATCAAAGGACCAAGAAAACAAATTACCAAAAGTAGCATTAAAGTACTATTATAATAATGTACTTGATTTATAATTACTTGATGTATTTTATTTTTTATAATGACCCACTATAATAATTTATTTTAAGAATCAAACAAATTTTCTGTAACATTTTGTTTGGATTTAAAAATTATCTTTTACTTAGTTTTTAAGAGAATAGAATTATTTTACTATAATTTTATTTATTTTGTTTGAATTTAGACATTTTTATTTTAATTATTTAACTATAAAATATTTGTATTTTGTCTTGACAATTAATTCCCACAAAGTGTTTAGGGAGACTCGAACTATCTACGTTTTGCCTTGAAAGGAGAGAAAATGCCTCTAGGTCACATACTTTTTTTTTTTATTTGATGTGATGATTTTTATATTTGATGTATAAAAACACAAAAGAGTAAAGCATATGATAAAGTAATAGATAGTAATAAATGTTGACAAAAATAATTCAAGTTCAATTATATACAACAAAAATAAATTTATAAAAGAAAATTATGAAAGAAACAAATTAATTATTGATCATTTATAATAGGGTGAACTACATTAAACCTCCCTTTTTTATTTGTGTTTTTCACTAAACCCCCCTTTTCTATTTTTTTGTCAAAAATATCCCCCTCAACTATTAGAGTGGGGTGATTTAACTAACTTCTGTTAACTAACTATTAAAGGGGGTGATTTAATTCTCAAATATATATATATATATATATATATATATATAGCAAATAAATTTCAAGAAAGAAAATCTAGATTTATATTGAAAAAAAATAAATTTGCATTATTTCTGGTAGTGTACCTTTAATAAATTTATATAAAATGAAAATTAATAAAAACCAAATAAATGAATGCATAATATAATTCTCAAATATATATATATAGGAAATAAATTTCTAGAAAAAAAAAAAAAAAAAAAAAAAAACTACATTTTTTTCTAAATAATAAAAAAACCTAAATTTATATTGGCCTGAAGGCAATATGGAAATGAAAATATATTTAAATAATATTTAATGATACATATTATATATACCATTATATTATGATACAAATTATATATAATATCATAATGATGGGTGAATAAAAAAAGTTGAACAAGAAAAAGAGTACATGTTGTTGTAATGGTTTTTTTTCTAATATAAATCTAGGTTTTTTTTCTTGAAATTTATTTGTTGTATATATATATATATATATTTGAGAATTATATTGTTCGTTCATTTATTTGGTTTTTATTGATTTTCATTTTATATAGATTTATTAAAGGGACACTAACAGAAATAATGCCTAATTTTTTTTTTCCAATATAAATCTAGGTTTTTTTTTTTTTTTTTTCTTAAAATTTATTTGCTATATATATATTAAAGAATTATATTGTGCATTCATTTATTTGGTTTTTATTGATTTTCATTTATATAGATTTATTAAAGGGACACTACCAGAAATAATGCCTAATTGTTTTTTTTTTTTTTTTTCCAATATATATAAATCTAGGTTTTTTTTCTTGAAATTTATTTGCTATATGTATATGTATATATATTTGAGAATTAAATCACTCCCTCTAATAGTTAGTTAACGGAAGTTAATTAAATCAACCCCCTTTAATAGTTGAGGGGGTTTTTTTGACAAAAAAATAGAAAAGGGGGTTTTAGTGAAAAACACAGATAGAAAAAGGGGGTTTAATGTAGTTCACCCTTTATAATATTAATATTTGCGGTTATTTTTGAATTACAAAACTATCACTTGTTAATTTTATCCTTCTAAAAACTGTAGAATATATGATAGATCCTTCAGAATTAGGTTTATGTTGTTACTGTTTGATATTTTGTGAAAAATTACAATTAAAAAACTTTAATTTTAAATTTAATTTTTTGTATTATTAATTTTAATATTTTTTCAATTTTTTTTTTTTAATTTTTAATTGAATTATATAGTAACATTGATTGTTACTTACGTGCGATGCATGTACATTTTTACTGGTATATATTAAATGCATCATTTGTCAGAAAATGAAACTTTAACAATTGTCAGATAAATAATTTTTTTATTAAAATAACTGCCTTAAAATGTATATAAATTTTATAAATCCAATACACTTTTAAAGGGAGTATAGATATAGATAGATATTAAAAAATAAATCAAAAAACAAATTAATAAACTATTTTTGGGTGGATCACGCACTGATACCAAATCTAATAATATCATTACAATTGAGGATGAGGTTCCTCCCATTGTTCTCTAAAGTCTAATCTATAAATAACAACAATACTTGCCTCTACAAACCAAGAATCCTAAAATAAGGTGAATAATTTATAATCAAGAGGATGAAAAAGACTTAAAGTCTAGAAAAGAAATTTAAAATACTGTTTTGATTTTCTGAGTTCTGGCAATTGCTTCTCAACTTCTTGTCATTTCTTTGACTCTTCTTCCCGCCACCACCATTCTTCTTGACAGGTTTAGAATCCACACTCTCCACTGATTTTGGAGTCTCTAAGTTGTCAACATCAGTTACAACCGAAACTTCTTGTTGTTTAGTAACAACACTCTCCAACTCATCCAAATGAACTTCATCATCATCTGCTTTTCTTTTTCTGAACGGATTGTTATTCGGAACTTTCAATGGAATTTTATCAGCAACTGTTTCATTTTCTTCTGTGGCTCCAATGTTTGAAGGGAAAACTAATTTCTCAAGCTCTACGTCTTCATTAGTCAACAACTTCCTTTCCTTCACAATGGGTTTCTCCTCCATCCCTGACAAGTGGAATACATAAACATAAACATACATCCAAGGGTCACGAGCGAAAAACACCCATCCATTTGGTATGCATATAGAATGTATAACTCCTTATACGTTATAAAAAATCCATAACATTCAATTTTAGAGCAAATAAGGGCCTGAATGCTAAAAATACTAAAATGTCTCTCTATAACGAAATAAAAAATTAAGTAAAAAACTAATTAAATGTGAAATGACTAAATTTTTTTTTTTTTTTGGGCTACTTCATCAGCACTGCCACCGGTAATGGAACAACGACAACTTAATATGTCCGGCATTAGTTCAGTATATATATATAACGGAATTATCAAAAAAGATAAGGACGTTTTCGAAATTTTATATCTTAACAGTGATTTCAAGCTCTTCTTTGCTCATTTTTTAAACTTATCGTATCGGACTAATATACACTTTTTTTAAACTTAACAGACTTATATACATAATATAAAGGATACAAGTGTTATTTGCCCAAAATGTAAACATTGAGGTGTTTTTCCCACTTTACCCTTACATATAAATAATTAAAATTTCTCAACTTTTGCACTCGGGCACAAAAAGTGTCAAATTAATGAAAAGAGCTTTCTGCATCATTATTGTGCTTTTTAAAATTATTTTCTTTTCCAATAGGTGTAAACAGAAATTTAATAACCAAGTATTATGCAAGTTCAAAAAACTTACCTTTAATTTTTTCTGAATTCTGGCAATTGCTTCTCAACTTCTTGTCAATTCTTTGCCTCTTCTTCCCGCCGCCACCATTCTTGTTGATAGGTTTAGAATCCACACTCTCCACTGATTTTGGAGTCTCTAAGTTGTCAACCTCAGTGACAACCGAAACTTCTTGTTGTTGTTCAGTAACAACACTCTCCAACTCATCCAAATGAACTTCATCATCATCTGCTTTTCTTTTTCTGAACGGATTGTTATTCGGAACTTTCAATAGAATTTTATCAGCAACAGTTTCATTTTCTTCCGTGGCAACAATGTTTGGAGGGGAAACTAATTTCTCAAGCTCTACAGCTTCATTAGTCAACTTCCTTTCCTTCACATTGGGTTTCTGCTCCCTCCCTGACAAATAGTATACATAAACATAAACACACCTCTATGGTATGCATATAAAATCTATAACCCCCTATACGTTTTAAAAAATCCCTAACATTCAATTTTGGAGTAAATATGACCTGAATGCTAAAAAGACTAAAGTGTCTCTCTATAACTGAATAAAAAATTAAGTAAAAAATTAATTAAATGTGAAATGACTAAACTGTCCCTCTTTTCTTTTCTTTTTTTGGGCTCCTTCATCAGCACTGCTGCCGGTAATGGAACAGCTGCAACAACTTAATATGTCCGGCGTCAGTTCAGTGTATATATATAAGGGAATTATCGGAAGAGATAAGGGCATTTTCAGAATTTACCCTTCTTTGCTCATTTTTCAAACTTATCCTATCGGACTAATATACACAACATTAGCCCTTCTTTGCTCATTTTTTCAACCTTAACGGACTTATATACACAATATAAAGGATACAAGTGTTATATGCCCAAAATGTAAACATTGGAGTGTTTTTCCCACTTTACCCTACATGTAAATAATTAAACTTTCTCAGCTTTTGCACTCGGGCACAAAAAGTTTCAAATTACTGAAAATAGTTATCTGCATGCATTATTGTGCTTTTTAAAATTATTTTCTTTTCCAATAGGTGTAAGCAAAAATTGAATAACAAGTATTATGCAAGTAAAAAAACTTACCTTTAATTTTTTCTCCTCTGGCTTTTTGAGTGGAGATTACAGTGAAGGAGTTTTTTTGTGTAGATACAGCTATGGGCTCTATTCTCAGGACTTGATCACAACTTTGAACGACAGCAGTAGGTTTGAGATGAATTCCAGAACTGGGGAAGTAATCAAAGGCCTCCATGGTACTTGGGTCCAAGTTACCTTCAGCAATTGCAGCAGCAATTGAGTGAGGAATTTCTCTAAATGGAGTCAGGAGGAACGAATTTAAGTCTTCGTGGGGGTGGAAAATTATTGCCAGAATTGTTTAGCATACTCAGATATCATAAATTGTCCATTTTTTAAGCTACGGAGGTACAGGAGAAGCATTTTTAAAAACAAATGTTGGTGGTCTTGTACAGAAAAATCAAATGTCAACTCAGGAAAAAAAAAAAAAAAAACAAAGATAGACAAACAAACAAACGGTATTTGCTAAAAAGAATAAATAAATGAATCAGTGGTCGCCAAAGATGGAGTCTGGCCACAAAATGATCTCTGACATATGTTATAGTATGACATGAGAAACTAGAATAGACCTTTTCCTACATGCATAGCTTTAAAAATGAACATTAAAACTTGGCAAAAAAAAAAGTACAAAACAAATAAAAATAAAGGATACGGCCCCAGGAAATCAAGCTCTTTATCTAGAAATTGCAAAAGGTTTTCTGGAAGAGGTTTTAAGTGCTTGAGTTGCTTAGAGTCAGCATCGTATCTGTGTAGAATTTAAGGATCAAAACCATTAGTGAAATGCAAAATTGATAGTGAGAAATAGGCAATAGGTTGGTGAAATGGAATATATTAACTGTTTGCATACATTCGGGCATGCTGGAAAACTGCAACCGCTTCTCTGAATGATTTTGAGTAATCTTCAGGCATTTGATTGCCCTTCTGAAACTTTAAAATGGATAGGACCTGAAAATGTATGATTGAAATGTGGAATTCCTTATAATGAGGCTGTGAGAGTATATATTTTACTGAATTTTGAAGCCATAACCACATGATACATGGTTGAAAATGACTGCAGTTACAAACATTTGTAATAAAAGGCATGGGATGCAAGATAAGTGTCTTACAAGTAAGCAGATTAACTTTATGCTACACCGCTGTCAAATTATATATTAATTCTCACAGAAGTCTTCAAACAACTACTGGCATTTAATTATCAAAACTTAACCAAAACCAAGCTGTGTACTATCTTTTCTTACTCCCACTTAGATGTACTATGACATTTGTAGCTGTGTATTTTTTTGGAACAGTATAAAATCATTTCACACTTTGCATAATTCACAATTTTATAGTTCTATACATCCCTTCCTAAGAAGCACGGACACACCTAAAAGGAGAAAGAATCCATGTCGGACACCGACACATGCCGGACTATATTTATTCTTCGCCGTGTCCCCACCGTATCCGTGTCCTAATTTTTTAGGATTTGCCGTGTTGCCATGTCCGTGTCGTGTCATATCCGTGTCCCCGTATCCGCTTTCGTGCTTCTTAGATCCCTTTAGAAGTTGCAGACATTCTGTATTTGAAAAAGAGTTTTTTTTTTTCCTTTTCATTCATTAGTTTTCCAAAAAGAGAATTCTCATAATTGACCAAAACCAAGCTAACCATCTTCCATATCCTTTTTAGAATCTGATAAATAAACCAAATCCTGTATCTGATGAGAATCAATAAATCCTCCATCAGTTTCAAGGGTTTTGCAGGACGGTGCTGGTTGCAAGATTTACTCATCCTAGATGAAGAAAAAATCATGGAAGATTCTGTGTCGATCGGATAGAATAGTTTTGCGTAAAGAACTCAGTTATTCAATTGTATATCTATTAGACCAGGACGTGTTTAAGTGATAATTACATGTCTTGGGTAACAACTTTTTTAATAAGATCATTGCAACTAAGAAAATGCGCAATGAGTGGTGTAAAGTAGTTTAGTACCTATATTCAAAAAATAAAGGGGGTATTTAATGCTTTTAAACATCATTATCATCCTTGCTTTAATCCCAGATGAATAGTGTTGGCTACATGTATTGTCTTTTTTTTCATTCTTTTCTATTACAAGGCATCTCTCTATAATATTTAACTTTTTAAAAATCATTTCTGGTGATTTCTTCCCATGCTAACTTCGGTCGCCCTCATTATCTCCTTTCTATACAAATATCCCATTTCTTACCTAAGTATATTTCTCACTAATAGGCACCTGCTACTAATTTGTCCCTCACATTTTGATTAGTAACCTTACATTTTCTAGTCATCCCTATCATTCTATAAAATATAAATCAGTACTTAGATATTTTCAATCCCAAGTATATCAGTACTGTGATATTTTCGATTGATCAAACATTAAAGCATGTCAATCAATCAATAGGGTCGAGTATACCATGTTTGCAAAGGACTCAAACTCTTACTATGACCTAGTTGAAACACCACTCTTTGAAGCCTATAAATACACAACTTGTGTGTATGACCTAAGGTTTGCAATATAGAGCTAAAAAACATTATTTCTGTTCATATATACACAATATTTTTTCCCCTTAGTATATATATACAAGAATAACATCTCATATATATGATTCATACACATCTTTGAGAGATTTCTTGTGAGATCAGCAGTACATCTTTATTTACAACATTCATCATATGCATTAGAATATTAGTGACCTATTGCCACATGTGTTGATACAACTGTTGTTGCACGTACACAAGTATATTCAACACATCACATCATAGCAATCAATACCAGATTCTCATCTGGACACTAGTGGCTAATGCAAATCACTAAAAAAGCAGATTAACCGTTGTGAAGGTTGTAAAAGATCAGAAGGACAGCCTGAGATCTTCAAAAATGACTGAAAAATTGGTGTATATTGTGTCTAAAGGTAAGTAGGGGTTTGAAAACATTGAACTGTTATCCTAGGGAGTAAATATCTTTCTTGAGAGTGGATTAGTTGTCTGTGCTAGGTCTGTGGTTTTTTAATTCTCGATTGAAGGTTTTTCTACGTAAAAATGTGGTATTCATATTTATTGCTTCACTACTTTATTTGTTTATGTTTGCATGCACTTCTATAACCAAGACCTATTCACCCCCCTCTAGGTCTAATCCACTAAACCTTGCACAACTCTTAACAGAACCTCGGGTCCCAATAGAGGTCTAATCCACTAAACCTTGCACGACTCTCAACAGAACCTCAGGTCCCAATTCTAACGTTTAATGCACAACTCTCTCCAGAACCCTCTTCTATCAATTAGTATCATAGCAGGTCGCTCAAACGATGTTGAGTAAGTCATGGACGGTCTTAAGGAAGGCAATTCCAATTTTAGGCCTATGTTATTTGATGGTACTAATTATAGCGACCAGAAAGCTAAGGACTAGAATATTCCTAAAATCACTAGATGAAAAGGTCTGGCAACCTGTAAAACATGGTATAACTTGCCTACTACTGACAATGGCATTGAAAAACCAATGACTGATTGGACTAAAGATGACTAGTTAATACACTTTAACTCTAGGGCATTGAATGTTATATTTTCAGCTGTTAACATGACTGGGTTTGGTAGAATAATGAACAGCACCATTTCAAAGTACGCATGGCAGGTTCTAGAGAAAGTTCACAAGGGAACTACCCCTGTGAAATTTTCCAAACTACAAATGCTTAACACTAAGTTTGGAAATCTTAGAATGAAACATTCAGTGAATTAATGACATAGATTAAAAGGGACAACGTGAATATAGTTTCATATTAGGTGAACCAATCCCTAAAAAGAATGTGGTAAGGCATATTCCTATTTTGCTTGATTGTGGAGGGGTAAGGAGAGGGCAAACCCCATTCCGCTTTGAGAATATGTGGCTTAGAGTAGGGGACTTCAAGGAGAGGGTTCATTCCTGGTGGACAGGTTATGAAGTTAGCGGCAGCCCAAGTTTTCAACTTGCATAAAAAAAAAACGCTGCTCAAGGGTGACTTAAAGAAGTGGAATAAGGAAGTGTTTGGTAATCTCGAATGGCGAAAAAACAGAATCATTCTTGAAATTGCTGATTTTGATAGGAAGGAAGGTGAAGGGGGGTTCATAGCGATATGGATTCGAGTAGGAGGGCTGAATGTAAGGCTGAGTTTGGAGAGATTGTGACGGTGGAGGAGATATCTTGGAGGCAGAAATCTAGAGCTCTTTGGCTAAAAGGAGATAGGAATACGAAAATTTTCCACCGCTTAGTAACACCTATAGAAGATGAAACCACATCGGTAGATTACAGATTGACGGGAATATGGTGACAAGGGATGAGGATGTGCGGACTGGTTTTGTGTCCTTTCAGCACTTATTCATGGAGACGGCTACATGGAGACCTTTGCTGGACAGACTAGAGTTTGCCGGAATCTCGGGTGAAGACAAAGACTGGCTTGAGAGGCCGTTTGGGGAGGAGGAGGTTGTGGAAGCTTTGAGGAGTTGTGATGGTGACAAAGCCCCAGGTCTGGATGGGTTTACATTGGCATGCTTCCAACACAATTGGGAGGTGGTTAATCCCGAGGTGATAGAAGCTCTCTCTTGTTTCTTCTCAGATTGTGTTTTTGAGAAGAGCCTTAATGCCTCATTTATCACCCTTATTCCGAAGAAAAGTGGCGTTGTGGAAGCAAAGGACTTCAGACTGATTAGTTTGGTGGGTGTCATTTATAAGATTTTTGCTGAAGTCTTAGCCATATGCTTAAGAAAGGTCTTGGATGAGGTGATTTCAGATTCCCAAAATGCTTTTGTGGGTGGTCGTCAGATTCAGGACTCGGTGTTGATTGCTAGTGAGTGTGTGGAGGCCAGAATTAGAAGTAGTGCTCCTGGGATTGTGTGCAAATTGGATATTGAAAAGGCCAATGATCATGTCAGCTGGGATTTTTTGATGTATATGATGGAGAGGATGGGGTTTGGGCATAGGTGGAGGACATGGATTTACCACTGCATTTCGTCTGCACATTTCTCTGTTTTGGTGAATGGCTCTCTCCTGCAAGTTTTTTCACTATTTCTAGAAGATTGCGCCGAGGAGACCCATTATACCCCTTTTTGTTCATTATTATTATGGGGGCATTTAGTAGGATGATGGGGAGGGCAAAGGAGCTGGGCTTTATTCGTGATTTCTTTGTGGGAAACGGCCCCAATCAGTTATCTATTTCTCACTTGCTTTTTGCAGACGACACTATTGTGTTCTATGATGCAAGGGTGGATCAGTTGAGATTTTTAAGATGTGTTTTGGCTTGTTTCCAAATTGTTTCAGGGTTGAAAATCAACATTGGAAAAAGTGAGGTGGTTCCAGTTGGGGAGGTTGAGGAGATTCATGGTTTAGCTGATATTCTTGGGTGTGGTGTTGGCGCTTTTTCGATCTCGTATTTGGGGCTTCCTTTGGGAGCTTCATCGAGGAGAGTTTCTGTTTAGGACCCTGTGATTGAGAGATTGGAAAGAAAACTTACAGGTTAGAAGAAGCAGTACATTTCAAAAGGAGGGAGGCTTACTCTTATGAAGAGTACTCTTTCGAACCTTCCTACTTACTTCATGTCTTTGTTTCCGATGCCTATGTCTGTTGTCCGAAGATTAGAGGAAATTTAAAGGAATTTTTTATGGGGTGACAAGGGTTAAGAGTTCAAATACCACTTGGTCAACTGGGACAAAGTGTGCTCCCCGCTTAAGAAAGGAGGATTAGGCATTAGAAGGTTGGATCTTTTTAATAAGTCATTGTTGGGAAAATGGGTGTGGAGATTTGGGGCTGAAAGGTCTAAGTTATGGAGGAGGGTAATTACTTGTCGTTGTGGGGAGGGAGATGGAGGGTGGGTGTCTGGGGAGGTGAGAGATTCGGCGGGCAAGGGGGTGTGGAAGTTTATTCAGAAAGGTTGGGATGAGTTCTCCAAACACATCTGGTTCAAAGTTTGGGATGGGAGGAATGTCAAGTTTTGAGAGCATCGCTGGTGTGGAGATTTGGCATTGGCTCGCAAGTCTCCTTGTCTGTTTAGGATTTCGGCAAATAGGCAAGCTATGGATGCTGACTATTATCGGCTTGATAATGGGAGGACAACTTGGGATGTCTTGTTGCATAGAGATTTCCAGGATTAGGAGCTCACGGAGTTCTTGGCTTTACTCTACAATCACGTGATGAAGCGTGACGATATGGATGAGATGGTGTGGGTGGGTATCCCGAGAGAGGCTTTTGAGGTTAGGTATTTTTATCAAAACTTTTCAGAGAACACGGGCGCTTTTTTCCCGTGGAAGGCAGTTTGGAGGACGAAGGCTCCCTTGAAGGTGGCCTTCTTTGCTTGGACGGCAACCCTTGGTAGTATCCTAACCATTGATAATCTTAAAAGGAGATACCACATAGTGGTGAACTGGTGATACATGTGTAAGCAGTCGAGAGAATCTGTGAGCCATCTTTTTCTTCATTGCCGGTGGTGAGGGATATTTGGTCTATATTCTTGGTCGCATTTGGCATGGCATGGGTTTTTTTTTTCTGAATCCACGGTGAGATGCTTGGGACTTGGAAATGGTGTATAGTGGAGAGCCAAGTCAGAGATGCTTGGAGGGCCACTCCCCTTTACTTTTGGTGGGTTTGTGGCGCGAGAGGAATATAAGATATTTTGATGGAGAAGAATCTCCAATTTGGTCTATCAAATACAACATACTCTCTTCTTTATTCTTTTGGGTTTTTGGGCATAATTGTAAATCTATGGGGGATCTTTTGGAGTTTGTGGGTAGTTTGAATTTTTAATGTTGCCTTGGGCAGCCTTTGTATACTTTTGGGTTTGCTTCCCTTCTTGAGAATCTTTAATGTTATCTAACTTATCAAAAAAAAAACAAAGGAACCTACATAGATTACACAAGGTAGTTGACTTAGCAAGATCACTACAAACTTATGAGCTAAATAATCCTTCAACTAAATTGGGTAGGAATTTTGCACTAAAAGCTATAAAGAGGATGATGATTATTTATGTAGCGGGACTAATGAGAGATTACTTTACTTACTAGGAAATTTATAAGGTATATGAAATCTAAAATGTAAGAAAGGAAAGTTTTCAAATAAATTTTACTCTAGGAAGGACAAAACGAGACAAACTTCAAAAGAAATAATATGCTGGAATTGTTGTGAGAAAGGTCATGTATGAAGAAACTTAGAGGAGATAAGAAGGATATGAAGAAGAAAACAAAGGCAAAATCTATGAAAGCAGCGGTTTCTAATTCAACTAGTAACATAGAAGATGGTGTAAATGGCTATACTATAAATGAAAATAAAAGTAAGACGAAGATCCTTCAAAGGTTAGAATAGCCTTTACTGAACTATTTGAGGAGATTGTTCAAGCTAAGAGTCTTAACAAAAATTTGAAAGCTAAAATTAAGAAGCTAGAACAACTCTAGAAGAGAATAAGAAAACATTGTCTGAGAAATCCTTATTGTTGAATGAACTTGAGAAAGATAAAACTGATCTGTCTACGAGCAAACTACTGTCCGGGAGAAATCTGATTTCTGCAACAATATTAAGGTCTTAGAATAAGAAAATTCTGAGACACAAAGTCTAAATAATACCTTAGTCAAGGAAAATGAAGATTTAAAAACTGAACTTAAAAGTTAAAACTTCTAAAGAAGTTGCTGCAAAAGTTACATTAAGCACACATCATCTAGATAAGCTACTTACGATAGGTAAATTTTCAAATGATAAGACTAGCTTAGGTTATACTGATGCTTCTTCTTCTAAGATAAAATAATGAACAAACTACTGTCCAGGAGAAAACTGATTTATGCAACAATATTAAGGTCTTAGAATAAGAAATTGAATAAGAAATTTCTGAGGCTCAAAGTCTAAAGAATACCTTAGTCAAGGAAAATGAAGATTTTAAAACTGAACTTAAAAGTTAAAACTTCTAAAGAAGTTGCTGCAAAAGTTACATTAAGTACAAATCATCTAGATAAACTACTTTCGATAGGTAAATTTTCAAATGATAAGACTAGCTAAGGTTATACTGATGCTTCTTCTTCTAAGATAAAATTACCTACTATTTTTTACTAAAAGTAAACAGATCTCCATTCCTGCTCCTAAGGGTAATGACAAACAAGTTTCAGTTTCTATTCCAAGGAGTGCTCAAACCTCTAATGCTCAATTTAGGAACAATTGTGTTGTTCGCCCTTCAAAAAGTTTTCAGCCCCCTACTCCCTATTGCACTTATTGCAATAACATAGGTCACTCTAGATTCTATTATTATCAACATTGTGCTACTGGAAGAATGCCAAGTTTGATAATCATCAACCAAAAGAAACTAAAAGAAGAAGAATGACGGTAGGAAGAATAACAAGAATAAATCTAAAGAGAATAAGTTGACAAAGAGAAGCCAAGATGTTTCTATGAAAATTAAATAAATTTGCTTAAGTGGGAGCATGGCCACTTCACTTTCAGGTCAGCTTGGGATGCTTGGATAATTCATCATGACAAAGTCCCATGGTTTAAGCCTTGTTGGTGTAGTTGCAGACCAAGAACATCAGTTACAGATTGTTTGGCAGTGCAAAATAGACTTCACTGTTTTGAGAACTTGAAGAGGAAAGGTATTCAGTTGGTGTCTATCTGTCACAACAGTTGGATGGCAGCTGAAGATTTGGATCACCTTTTGGTTACTTGTTCTTTTGCTAGAGGAGTTTGGAATTGGTATGCTAACTTGCTATCTTGGAATATGCCGTGTTGCAACAGTCTGTCACAGCATGAAGACTGGTTTCTCTCCCAGAAATTCAGTCACAAGTTTCATAAAAATATTTTTTCTACAGTTCTTTGGCACATTTGGACTGAGAGGAACAGGGACAGACCCAGGAATTTGTGTGAGGGGGGCAATAGAGGGTTTTTTTTTGGTAATTTCAGGGAGGGCAATATGAAAATTTCATAGATATATAATTCAAAAAAAGGAAAATTCACTAGTATTAATAGTAAAAAAAAAAATCAGTGGGGGCAATTGCCCCAACTGACAATAAACTAGATCCATCCCCGGCGAGGAACATGAGAATACATCAAAACAAGTCTGTCAGCTGAAGACCTTGCTAGAAGCTGCTGGTGGGAACTTAATGGACTTGGTTTAAAAGACATCCTTGGCTCTTCTTTCCTTTGCTTTTGATGTCTTCTATTCTCGTTTCTGTTTGTAACCTTGTGCGTTGTTTCCCAAGGGTATGCCCTTGTTCTGTATCTTGTACATTATTGTTCTATCAATAAAATAATCCCTCATTCAGGGGGAAAAAAAATATTAGACTTGAAGAAATTTGTGAAAATTCCTTTGGATTCCTTGGGACTTAAAAACCTAAGAAATCAAATGATTAATGATTCCACAAAAGGAATAACAAACTTATGATGATTTAATGGATTATTTTCGAAAACTTAAGACTATGGATTGTATATCTGATGGAAACCATAGCTTATTCCTTACGAAATATTTCAAAAATTAATCAAGTGCATTTATATTCTTGACTTGTGATGATAAAAATAAAAATAAATATAAAATGTTGGTTGTTTTTAGGTTATGCCTTAGAAATTTATAATCTTATTAATGTCAAAATTTGTGTAGTAATTCCAATTTAAGGAGAATGTCAAACATGAAAGTTTTAACACACTAGTCACTAAAATCCAAGAAAATTTGACACTACGTTATGATATTGCTCTCTACTACAAATTACAACACGAGATGAACATGTGTTGAAAGTATGTGCCTGTATAATATATCTTCATTAACTATAATTGTATTGAAAACAATCCATGTCCTTAACAAACAAAAACTATACTTACACGGTCAATGTTCCGATACTTGGAAACCAGAGAATAAGCCTTTGCAATCCCAATTCCAGGAACAGATGGAAGGAAATCACAGCCAGCTAGGACACACATGCCTGTGAAATTTCCATAGTTTGAATATGTTTACAGTATTAAATTAGTTCATAGATATGAAAAAGAAAAAGTAAGGTTTTATCCACCTAAAAGAGAGAGGAATAGGAGTGATGTTTTAGACATTTTTATTATTATTATTATTATTATTATAGCTTGATCTTGGACAGAAATTGTTTTATCCCCTTTTAGTATTATGGACATAACAAGACTTCTTAAAGTGCAGAATTAATCCAATTTTGAGATCATGATTTAGTTTTTGTTGTCACGTTTGTTTTATTTTCCAATGGAAGTTCTGATTGAAAATCTTATCCATGTTTGAATTTCTAAACTATATGCATATCTCTAAAGTGTTGCAAGGAAGTCACCTGTGAACAATTCTTTGTCAAAATCTTGAAAGGAAGGCACACCAGCCACAAATTCAAAAACCTTGTCTAGCACTATCTCTTCACCATTGCCATACCTGTCCATCTTAAAGACAATCTGCTTGCAACCAATGAGAATCAAAACAAGACAGAAAACTTTAATACTAAGTAAATAAAAGCAAGTCACTAGTAGAGCAATAGACCTCCATCTGCCCATTCAAAGTTTTGTGGAAATTCTTACAGCTAGGCAACCGTATGCTAGTAGATCACTATCCTCTGATATCACTGCTACTATTCCACCTTTTTCTTCTTCAAGACTGGACAGATAGGCTAACTGTGCATCAGCCTCGTATGGAGCTACGACAAATTCAATGTTCTCTGTTCTCAAAATCTGAAAAAACACCATTTGACAGAATCAAAAGATTAAATGTGAGATTGTGAAATAATTCAATGTGAGAAACAGTATAGAATTTGGCCAAGAAATGTAGAAGGAGAATTACTCAATGGAAGGAATAATATGAAATTTGGGCAACAGATATCTAGAACTATGACCAAAATGCAAGATTTCATATAATATTAGATGGCAAGAGAATTTTTTTCTGTTAGAAGCTGGAAAAAGCTGGTAGACATCAGCAATTCAGTACCTGAATAAGTTGATGCGCCATTGATGGAGTGATACTCACTGCCCTCTACATGCCAAAGAAAAAATGTTAATAATATCCACATATATTGTTTCAAGGATTTGGAAACAGAAACAAACATCAAAATGATTGAAGTAATGATAATTCAAACTGTATAAAGAGCACATAGATGAAAAATGAGATGGACTCTCTTAATTTCGAAAGGAAAACTCTGGAATTTTAAGATTAAAAAGTATGCTTTTCAAATTGATTCACTATCTAAAGTTGCAGTTATTCACCAAATTTGTGTTTGGTAGATTTTTTCACATAGAATTGACTTGGACATAAATTTGATGGAAGAAACTAAATCTGAAATTAGCAATAGTCTAAAAAGTGCAAATGGGCAGCTCCATAATTTTCCAATTGACTCCTGTCAATTTAGATATTATATTCATAAAATCATTAAAATGTAGGTTTTGCCAAGATAATCATAGCAACCAAAGATTTGAGTTGGCATGCTTTAGTCAGCATTAGAACAGAGAAAGAGATTTGGGCAAAAGAATCATAATCGAAATCCAACACGTGCTACATTTTATACGTAAAAATTTGAGCAAACAATACTAAACCAAGAATTTCCAAACCATTCAATCTCAGAGAAACAGAGCAGATTGGGAATGTTGACAAAATTGGAGATGAGATCAGCTAACCTTCTAGGAAAAGCCCATTGTTCATTAGAAATGATTGTTGAAACCTTTGAGTAGCTGTTATGCCCCAGCCTTGTCTAGGTTGTAGAGTGACAACTTGGATCAAGGGGCCACAAGGGAGCCAGTGATCATGGAGAATTGAAGTGTTGGTTCAATTGTTGACTTGATGTTGAATAAACCTTCTACCAATGTCTCTTGTTTGGAGTAGCTTCCTCCAGAACCAACAAGCATCACTGGGAATATTGATATCCCATATACTTCTTTAAATTTGAACTATACAGAAGTAACTGATTCAAATTCATTTTAGTTTTTATCACTCTTAAGAACAGTTGGGCTAATATTCAAATACTGAGGATAAGCCAAGTAACAGCTTGTTAAAAATGGTAGAAACGTTTTAGGATGATGCTCAACATTTTCATCTTGGCTTATTTCATTTTAGTTTGGTTTTCTGCATTATTGTGTGATTGTAGTGTTTTACAATCTTGATTTGGAAGACAAATCAAAAGTTCATTGTGCCGGTGTTATGATTCAAGACGGATGTGAGTTGACTATTAGGTCACTGGGACTTGGCATGGGCAAATCTCATAACAAAGGTGGGAACATGTACTGCTGATTCTAGTTTATTTATTTTGAAATCAGCTGATTTTATTAGTATAAGAACCCTCATGATCAACAGACTACTTAATATCATGACAAGGGTAAAAAAAATATATTCATCTCTGAATACCTAACTCACAAATTAGGGTTTTTACCTTTGTGCATTCATTTCATTAATCATGACTAAGAGGCATTAGACATACTTTAGAATGCATCTGGATAGGTTTTCTATTGGAAAGTAAAGTAGTATGAAGAACAGGGAATTTGGGTTGATTGAATTTGGGTAGAGTTTGCTCGATCGACCCTTGCTACCCAACCTCAATCAATTGAACATGGAATAGGATTGATTGCATAGTGCAGGACAGAGTTTCCTATTCCGCTTTTGACTACAAAACCCTAATTATTTTACTAAAAAGCTTTATTCAAACCCTCTTAGGGTTCACAAACGCATATACAAAACACATACATATACTTGGAGCAATGTTGAGTAAGCAAATAAAATGGAGTAAGCAATTTATGAGAGGGAAAACTAATGCTACCTGGAAGAGCTCAGAGGCAGCATTAACATTGCCTTCATTGAACTTCGCCATGGCTAAATCCAGGTTAGTTTTTCTTTTCCTAAACCACAAAAATTCAAATGCAATTTAAAAAAAAAAATCCCCCGAGTGGGTAACTCAAAAACATTGAATTGATAGAAGAAAAGGCTTGCACCTGTGTCGTTCATGGTCAGTGGAGGCCTTACATGGGATATTGCCACCGTCGAAGACAACCACAGGAGTGATCTTGTAGTGACGAAGCAAATTGATTCGGTGCATAAAGTAGTTCAAATACCGAAACTTCTTATCACCCTCCAGATTGAGGCACAGTTCCATGTTACATGAATATGCTGAAAAACAACTCCCCATATATTTCAGTTTTTTCCCACTTATACTAATCTACAGAAAAAATGCTCTTACAAAGAAAAATATATCTACAATAACAATGGAAAGAAAGAAAAAAAATGTCGAATCTGGAATTGATTGTGAAACCCTAACCTCCTTTGTGAAGCCATGAATAAGCATCGATTCCGACCTGCAAATACATATAGAACAAATACAATCAAGAGTAATCATTGGATATCGATTCAGAAGATATTGAAAAGGAACGAAAATTTACTCGCTTGCCGGCATATTTCTTGATGTGAATGGGCTGAACATAGGGTTTCATAAACTTGAGTAGATCTTTGATACCCATTTCCTTTTCCAAATTCTTTCAATATATCTATCTATCTATATATATATATATATATATTTGAGCGTGTGAATTTTTACATGGGTGAATAGAATAAAGATTGAAGAAGAATTAAAGTGGAGAAAATGGCGGGAAGAAGGATTATATTAAATCCAATATATTAGTATTACACAAAATTGGATGATCAGCTATGGAACTGAGAGGGAGATAATTCGTAAGGACTGATAAGAAGAAGCCACGTAAGTTGATTATTGCCAGAAGCTGGATAGGCGACGTGTGGTTATACCATAGTGGGTCATTTTGCCGCTCTTTACCTTAATAACCGGGAAAATGAATTCGAAATTTATTTCCCGCGAGTTTAATTGGGGTTCACTCCATTCAAGCTTCACGCTCCGTTGGGCCAAGTGAATAACACGCTGCTCTTCTCAATGGAGCAAAGCACCAGTGTGCCTAGGGTAACAAAGGAGTCCATCCATTTGTCAACAGCTAAATCTAGGCTCATTTATTACTTAGACTTGTATTTGCTTACAGTAATTAATAATGAATCCATCTGTAAATTATAAAGTTATATTTATAAACGAGTCGAGTCTAAACATCACTAGACTTGGCTCGTTTGCTCGTGAACATATTCATAAATGTCGAAATGAGTTATAACCCAATTGGTATAAGTCCTCCTCTCTAAAAATAAAATTCAGTATTCAAGTCTTAGTGAAAGTACAGGTATATATGTTTGTTTGAACTTTCAAATAAAAAAATAAAAATAAAAAAAGAAAGAAAAAGGTTTCATAAATAAACTCGATTACAAAATATATATACTATTAAAAACATCTCACCTTTTCAACCCGAAACTACCCATGTGACCATCCCAATAGAAGTCAAAATTTCTTTGTTATCACTTAACAACTCATAATATACTCAGTCCATGTGTCTATTGTATCTTTGTTGGGAAGGTAAATTGCATTTCACCCTCTGTGACTTATAGTATTTGCACTACATTCCCTTTAAAAATAAATTTGTCAAAAAATTTCCCTCAACTAATCAAGGGGTTACTTTTACTAAAAAAAACCCCACCAAAAATCATGAGTGAGTTCATTGCAATTCGACAAATTGTGTGAATTAAGTTAAAAGATTCTGTTTTTTTTTTTTTTCTTCTTAAATAATAGTATTTGAACTTATATTTTCTATTACATATATCACCATACTTTTAATTAAGGAATAACATTAAAAAAAAAAAAAAAAAAAAGAAAAAAAAAGGAAGAAGAAGAAGAAGAAGAAGTAAAATTCATAGTTACAAATGCAACTACATGTTATTTCTTTAGCATATGCCAAGCATAGTTAAATCCTAAAATATCTTTTCTCTTCATTTTTTTCTATTCAACTATACAAAATGAGAGAAAAGCCTAATATTTTTATGCCATTCAATTACCTTTTGTAATTAAAATTCATTTTTGTTGATCTAATTATTTGATCAAATGTCCATCTCGTATATTTATATTTATATACACAGAGAGAGAAAGAGTATAGAATCAAAAATATATATAAATAATTATAAGGATAAAGTGCAAAAAAACCCCTTGAAGTATTGGCCATGTGCAATTAACCCCCCTAAACTATAATTTGCCCCCTTAAACTATTGAATTTTTGCAATTAACCCCCAATATGGCATCTCCGGCCAATTGGTGAAAACGAAAATAGTGAAAGACAATTTTACCCCTATATAAAACTGCGTTGTTTCATAAAAATTTCAGCAACATAATCCAACCTTATCACCATGGAGGGTGTAATCTCAGCATCCACTAAAAATTGACAACACATACCAATCTTATCACCATTAGTCTAACATGGAGGGCGTAATCTCAGCATCCACTACAAATTAGACAACACACCAACCTTATCATCATAACCTTTATCACATATATCCCTTTAATCAACCACCTCTTTTCATTTTTGCGGGAAAACCAAACTGCTGAAAACTCTGAAGAACTGAAGAAAGCTTTGGCTGAACGGAATACCATTTTCGATATCTCAAGGGTACTCAATCAGTAAATCTCTCAACTTTAACACATTAATTTGTAACTACTGATGTAATGTACATGAATGAGTTGTGTTATATTTTTTCTCTCAAAACAGTATACGGGTTTTTTTTATATTTTATTTGAGGGTTTAGGTTTGTAAAATGTTGGATGGGTGTTTGAGTTTGGCCGACAGTATATATATATATATATATATATATATATATATATATGCATATATTTTCATTATTTTTTGTTTTTGTCTTCTAATATTTGTTTTATATTGTTGAAAGCTAATCTTTCACTATGTTGTTCTGTCCAATGGTCCCTTTCTTCTATGATTGACTTTGTTTTATATTGTTGAAAGTTATTCTTTCACTATGTTGTTCTGTCTAGTGGTCCCTTTCTTCTATGATTAAATGGTCCTTGTTTTGCTTCTATATTATTGTCTATAAATGATTAAAGTGTCCAATTGCCATTGAAAATGTTGTATGAGTTTAACTATACCCTGTGATTGAGTGGTCCACCTTATTATTGAGTTGTCATTAAATTTGTGTTTTCACTTGTTGACTTTCTAAAAATATATTTATTTGTTGTTCATTGAAATTTGTTATTATAGATGCACCTTTATAGCATTGAACTTCATCATGGGGGTGTTTACTCAAGTGTTTTACACAGTACCATATTTAGAGGGTAATAAGAAGTTCAGAGAAATCAAGTGTGATGTGGATGTATTGAGAATATTCTATGATTATGAAGCTCAAAGGGAAACCAACTTGATAAAGTTGTACATTGTTGCAGCTTTCTTGAATGTGCAAGGGTATGAGGTTCCATAGACATTGCAGAAAAAGAGGACTCAACTGATGATTTTGAACAAGTGGAATCAGATTATGCTCCTAGTAATGAGTTAATTAGTCTATGTAGTTCAAATGATGATGATAGTGGTCCTATGCAGCAAGAATATATACCTTCAAGGGATTTAGGGGTCAAAGAATTATAATTAGGCATGAAATTTGGGATTGTTGTAGATTTTAGATTGGCAGTTAAGGAAACAGCATTGAAGAAAAGGTTTGATGTAAAGTTTACAAGGAATGATAGAGATAGGGTGAATGTAGTATGTAAGGCTGAGTGTGGTTGGAAGATTTATGCCAGTAAACAAGAGGATGAGGATTGCTTGATAGTGAAGACATATGCGTGTGAACATACAGATTGCCTTTGGTTTCAAACTAATTCACAAGCTTCATCTTTTTACTTAGCTAAAAAGTATTTAAAGAAATTGAGATCAAACCCAAAGATGCCTTTTCAGACACTTAGGAGCATTATTGCTTGTGAGATGAACATTGAGGTGTCGAAACACAAAGTCATAAGGGCTAAGAGAAAAACATTGAAAGTTATTGAGGGAGATGAGGTAGAGCAGTATGGCAAGATAAGGGAGTATTGTCATTTGATCTATTCATCTAACCCTGGCAATGTTGTTAAAATTCAGACTGAGCCCACATGTGAGGAAAATGTGAGGAAATTTCAAAGGGTTTTTATTTGTTATGCAGCAATGAGAAATGGTTTTAAAGAAAGTTGTAGGCCACTAATTGGTGTGGATGGGTATTTTCTAAAAGGGCCATATGGTGGCCATATTCTCAGTGCAATAAGTACTAATGTGAATAACCAAATGTTCCTAATAGCCTTTGTAGTAGTGGAATTTGAGACAAGGGATTCTTGGAGTTGGTTTATGACAGAATTGATGGATGCTGTGAGGCCTTATGAGGATATCATATTCACATCTGATAGGCAGAAGGTTAGTATTTAATATACACACTTATGAAACTATATATTTTCAATATATATTTGTTGAACTATAATAAATATATATGAATTTACTATTTTATTGTTAATGCAGGGTTTGGTAGACACCTTTGAGAACATCATGATTGGTTCAAAACACAGATATTGTGTAAGGCATGTAATGACCCTGTCATTTTCTTCCTTTTTTTTGATTTTCCGTCATTCATTTTTTTATTGTTTATTTTATTTATTTATTTAATATATATCTATATATATATTTTTGGGATACCTTAGGGTTTTGGAGACCCGGGGTAGGGTTTTGAGTTTGGTTTTGTGCTCGAATTTGATTTCTGACTTCACGTGCATTCATCTCATTTGATTTTCATGAAATGCGTAACTTTATTTTTGTAGAAAAGCATGCTACTTGTTTACTTTTCCCGTAGGGGTATGGATGTATAATTTCTTCGAAAACATTTTATTTTCCCGGGGTGTTCTGCATAATTAAATTTTCTTTGGATATTTGACTTCACAACTATGGATTTGTTGCAATTTAGTCCTTGGGTAAAGATTCCGGCACCGGAAAAGCCAAAAGACTGAAGTACCCTTATTTAAACGACGCAGTTTAAGGTAAATCAAAGCTTCAATTAATGAGGTGGAAAGGGCAATCTAAAGGACCAATGAAAAGTGGACAACTCAGCAATTGTGATAAGGTATGATACCTATATCCCTCCACCACACAATTGATGGTACCCATTCGTGCCAGTTTTTGTCTTCATCAATATTTACCAGTTGTAAAGGTCTGCAACTTGTTGAAACCCTAAACGCATCTCTTCCTACAAGGTGATGAAAACCCTAAAACCTTTCTTGCTATAAGTCTGGGACCATTGATCAGTAACTTTCTTACCCTAATTTATGTATTGCTTTCAACAATTGTTGTTGTTTTCTTGTTTTGCACAAAGTATATACTCGTTTTCAAAGGATACGAGTCAAAAGATGATGTTGATGTAGTTTTTGCAAGCATTTTTCTGCCTTTGTGTTGGTTCATTTTTGCTTTTGTGTTACTTATTTTTTTGTGCCTTTATATGTTGAAAGCTCCAAGGTAAAAAGATAAAATATTATCGAATGTTGTCAGTGTATAAACCCCATATATGGTGTTTTATGTTTTCCTTTTATTCTTTTTGTCAAATGTTGTCTCCATCAATAAACTTAGTGTGCATCAAACACTGTAAAATTGTTCTTGTCATTGGTGGTCCCTCTATGGTAGTCAAATGTTTTTCTATGTTCTTTAGTGCTTGAGTGGTCCTTATGTATATTTTTTGTCTTTCTGTTATTTATTTTCATACACTTTAATGATTGAATGTTGTCTGTGTATAAACCCTATATGTGGTGTTTTTTGTTTTTTTTTGTTTTTGTCTTCCTTTTGTCAAATGTTGTCTCC